GGAATATCCTCATCTATTGTATGAAAAAGTTTTGAGGAATAAATACATTTTTATTTTATTTTTTTTTTATAAATGTTTGAATTTAGTTATGTCTTTTGACAATATTCTTAGATGTATCGTATATTTTTTACATCGTACTCGATGTACTTATAACCAGAAATAGAGACGAAATGTCATTTAATTTGTTTGAAAACTATTCTGCCACATTATTACTGTGACAACTGCGCTCCGATTGGCCAGCCCGAATTCGGAACAATTGACGGGTGTTGCAAATGGTTTCACTTCAAATCGACCAGTTAACTTGAGCTTTGCTGTAATGGACGAAATTGCAAAATTACATATTTAATATTTAATTACCGATGAAATTTGACTCCGCTTGTTTTGTAATTAGATGTTTTGCTGTTTTTCTCCACACCACCGAATGGAATAACACGCCATTGTTAGAGATATTATCTTTATTACAATAAATACAGAATATTTTTGGAATATACGGAGACGTACACACAGGTCAGTTGTTGGTGCTGTATTATTTCAGCTTTCTAATTTGTAATTTCAGTGCAAACGAGAGTTGATATTTATAAGCGATGTCACTTATCTCTATTCCTGGTTATATACTCGATACTTTTTCATAAGACCGTAGTTTAAGCATAAAAGTTCTAAATCATAAAAATTCTTCCAGACAACCATCTTTGTTCAAATTGGGATTTTTTCATTTCAATTGTAGCTGCACATGATACGTTTGCTTGCCGCGGTGCTCATTTTTGTTCTGAAGGACATTTTTTGATTGCCTTGACTGCGCCACCAGATGAAATGGCTAGCTGAAGGCTCTTAAACAATTAAAAATAAACTATAACTAACAAGGTCTGTGGGCATCAACCTCCGTTCATGGCGCTACTGGGGACTTCCGACAGAAGGGCTTGCTGTAGGATAGAAGCGCGTCGAATTCACGAGCCGCGTAATTTGATATTAGCAGGATAGCAATACATTTGTTTCGCACTTACAAATAATGCAAGCTCTCTGATTGGTTGATTGTATATTAAACATTACGAGCGTATACTATTAAGCTCTATTAGATTACTAGTATAGCGACGTTTGCCGATCAATGCAATCTATAATAGTTTTGATTTCAACACTCATAATCGGCTTTTCACTGGCGGCCTCCCAAACAATGAGTTAGATAAAAAAAATGTTTTCTATTTCTATGTGTATCAATAGTAAAAATCTATTAATTCGATCTATAAATATTTAATAATTTTATGCTGTTTAATTGTAAAATACTAAGAAGCGTTATGAATTTCAGGTTCTAGACACACAGGAACTAATTTACAAGTACACAACAGATGTACTGGCAAGTGTCGCCCTTGGTACAGAAAACAATTCGTTCGATGAACCCAATACTGAATTCACCAAAGCCGGTAAGTGCGCAACCCTATTATGTGCGTCCTGGGCACTAAGAGCGCGTGTCCACGCTAAGTAATTCGACGTGTCTGCTACAGAAAAGACAAAAAAAGTCTTATACACGACAAGAACTTTGTCGGATCTAGCAACGAAAACATATCGTGTCTGTTGCAGACGAGATAATGATGAGTATGTACACGATACAAATGCTTTCGGACACATGTGTGTATGGTAAAATGTGTCGACTATACTATCGACTGTGGGAAGAAATATATTAACTACTAAGCACGCATAAACGTTCGATTACTGACAATGCACCTCACCCCGTCTCATAGAATAGCGGCAGAGCGCGTCGTGTCGTGGGTAGACAAGATCGTTTTCTTGTCCGGCGCCGAGGCAGAGTACACAGTTCGTGTGTAGAAACGACACGAATTCTTGTAGACACGCGCCTTTAGCGTGTACACGCGCTCTAAGTCTGCAAATTTTCTTGGAGCAATTCCATTGAGACTTTGTATGTGCGTTATGCGATATTTCGACTCATCCGAAAAACAGAGTCCGATGTGATTATATAGCGAAAAGAGAATAAGTACGTTTACGAGAATAATTTCGTTATTCAAACTTAAGCCTAGTGAATGTGTTTTGAGAATTTATATACCTTATTTCGTTTCGGAAATGTAAAATCGAACAACTGTCGATCTGACATCCACAGCGAAGAAGGAACGAACGAAATGTGCTATGTCCTGAGAACAAGTAGTCTTGCACATAGATCTTTGTTCTACGGATGAGTCGATTTGTGAACCGATTACGATGATTCTTTATTGTTGGAAAGGGCGTGCCTCAATAGTGGCCCCATTCAAATATCAAGACAATATTTCGCCTCCAAGGGTGAAAAATAGGCGATAAATCCCGTACGCTTTGGTCGAATATAGCAGTGAAAGTATAGAATCAATCATTTTGAAAAAAATACAAAGTAAAATTGAGTAGACATTGATTACTATACGGTGTGAAAACATGATACCTAAAAATTTTTACGATAAATAAAAAAAACACAAACTTTTTAAATTTTATTGAATTGATATTCAATTATTTTTTGTGAAATTATTCCACTAGTTTGTTATAATTATTCATACAAAGATCGAACATGGTTCGTTCCGTGGCTTAGTTGGTATAGCGTCTGGCACGGTAAGCTAGAAGACGTCCGTTCGAATCCGGCCGGATCGAAGGAATTTTTTCTGAGTGTTCGATCTTTGTATTAATAATTATAACAGACACAAACTTACCTCGAAATTTTACAAGAAAACCGATGTATACAATAGGTACTTTACATATACCTATGTAATAGCGCTGCTGGTGCTGGTGGCGTTCTGTAGACTGTAAAATAGCCTGGATAGCAGTAATATAGCCTGGTCCAAGGATAGTAATAGCGTCCGCAGCCCCAGCAGCAGCCGTGCAAGTGCAACACTCTTTTTACGATCTATGTCGCTACCTAGTTTATAATCTCAGTACAGAGTACTAAAAAAACCGACCTCAAAAGTACGTCTATTTGCTAAGTTTTATTGAAATATCCCCTAGCTCGCCACTATACAGGACTTGACACTGGAGATAATAAAAATCGGTTCTCACTACTCAAATGAATCTTCATGCATGAATAGCCACCCATCGAGGTGGATGATTTTCTTCAAAATGAAATATGACCACTATGGAAGTACCCCCTTTCCAAAAAAAAAAGAATCATGAAAATCGGTTCTCAAATACCGGAGTTATCGCGTAACATACATACAAAAAGAAAAAAGAATATACAGTCGAATTGAGAACCTCTTCCTTTTTTGAAGTCGGTTAAAAATGTGTTCATACGTAAAAAACGTACGGTTGGTGATCGTCGAAAGAATGGTTTACCCGAACCGAGGCAGTGAGATGCCTTGCCACACGAAATAGCATTGCAGCAATTCACAGTTTAGTGTTTCGACCCAAATACCAACAATCTCGATTATATAGAGTTCTTAGGAGACCCGTGCCGAGCATTCGGACGTATAAACGAGATGACGACCATGATTTTTCGTAATTTGTTTCAGTCAGCAAATACTTCCACTGCTTTAAACGCATGGTAGCACTTTTAACAGTGTTCTTTGTGCCAGAACTGATTAACATAATCGGAATGCCAGTTCTTTACGACTCGGAGTTCATCAAGAAGGTCTTTTGGGAAGCCATGGAGAAGAGAGAGAAGGGTGGAGAAAGTAGAGGAGATTTTATCGATTCTTTGCTGAAGCTGAAGAATCAGAAACAGGACCCGATTTACAGTAAGTGTTCTTTAACCAAAACTAGGATACTTTATATTTTCATCACGTCTGTCTGTAATGTGATACAGCTCTCTTATTAATTGGGTTAAAGCATTTTAATAGCAGCAGAACTCCTTGTGAAAGAGCTCGTCGCAGTAGTAAGCATTACAGCGTTCCGGTTTTGAGAGGTGCTGGTGATGTTACAAACACATAGGAGTTGTCAACTTATGTCTCAGGGTGACGAGCGTAGCTGATTTTGATTCAAATTAGAATCGAACCGATCGGGTAGTCTCGAAATGAGATGGGTTTTTGAGCGAGAAGATAAACCTGATTCTTACTATATCTTTCTAATTTGTGAGTTAAATCAGCTATTGTTTCGATTTGAAATGTCAAAAGTTTCCGATCGGCCAGTTGTGAATCGCAATTATGTGCCTCGACTCGGAAGAGACGCAGTTTCGGACTTGGAGAGGCAATCAAAATCAAGGTGCAGATCTTTGTGATTTGAAGTTCTGAGCAGCACTGTAACTGTTATGGACAGGCGTGTCGCTTACCACCAGACCCACGTCTATTTGTCCCGGCACTTCATTCGTTGTTGCAATTAATTCATTCACTCATTTTCTCATTCATTAATTCACCCATTCAATCATTCATTTATTTATTTAATAAGGCTTACCAACTAAGTACATACAGATATGTTAAATATAAAAACAAACCATTTAAAACTAGAACTATGCATGCATTTTAAAATAAAAGTAATCACCGTATTACATAAAGGTATTATTTTGGAAGCCCGGGAGTTCCTGAAGCTGTGATATTTATCACTAAAAATGTCCAATTCACAATTTTGAAAAATTTAATTGTATTTTCTCGTAGTGGTATGGGTGCGTTTTCATTATGTCGTGACGACAGATAGTCTTCCAGTTTAAAGTATCCTGGCTTGTATATTTAAACGAAGTTGTTCACATAATAGTAAAACAGGATTAACTTTCGTTCACAACTTTTTTAACGTTACGACGACAGACTGTCGTGATATCGAAAGAGCTAGAACGACAGTCGTCAGACGACAAATAAAACGTCACGATAAAAATGTGACGACAGGTAATCGCAGTTTCAAACGATTCTGACGTGCAAACTACAAGGTGGCTGCCGTGAACTAATAAATTGTCAAGAGTAGACTAGACACGACAGTCGTTCAACGATAAAATAAACGTCCACGACACAGTCACGACAGATAGTCGTAATTTGGGAACAGGCTAGACGCGATAGTCGTCCAACGATAAATAAAACCTTACGACATAATGGGCGCCCCAAGGGCTCTTTCACATAAACACGATACGACATCGCGTCGTGCTACCACGCGGCATCATTTCACGATGCAACATCGTATCGTAGAAACTCACAGTACGCTCCGCACTGCCGCAGTCATTTGTTATTCAAAGATGACTGTATTCTTTTGATGTTTTGTTCCATAGTACAGGATGCTCCTCCACTAGAGTTATGAAATAATCAACCTCAATGTCATCTATCATCTTTGAATATTGAATAACAAATAAATGCGGCACTGGGGAGCGCACCGTGAGTTTCTACAATACGACGTCGTGCCGTGCGCCGTTCCACAACATCCTACCATAATTGGCTTTTCTCAGTTTAATACCGAAAGTTGTATAATTATGCAGTCTAGGTGACATTTTAAAGTTTATTTGGGACTGCAGGGACGGACAATCTATATTATCATTTAGTAATTTATACAAAAAATTTAGGGTCAGTTGCTCCTTCCAATATTCTTCCATAAAAATTAAAAAAATATACATTCCTTTGATTGGTTTCTTGAATAACAAAATACATGTTTTCTGTCCTTAGAATTAGAAGGCGAGAACCTTCTTTTCCAAGCAGGGACGTTCTTTGGCGGCTTCGAGTCGTCCTCTACCGTCGCATCGTTCACTCTACTACAACTGTCTAGAAGTGCAAAGTTTCAAGACTTAGCAAGAAAAGATGTATTAAGAGCGATAGAGAAAAACGGTTGGACTTATGAGAGTTTCAATGAGATGAAATTTTTGGACCTCTGTATAGCTGAAACTGTTCGAATGAACCCTCCAGTTGCTACCGTCGACAGGCTAGCAAAGGAGGAATATAAGGTAAGTTGCAGTGTTGCCAGGTCACTTGAGTCGAAAATTAATCGACAAACTCCCATATAAATTTTTGTTGACGTAATTTGTATGCGTCTGTTTATGAAAAATATGTGAAAATGTAGAGTTGAAATTCTTGAACAAATTCATGCTTGTTGATGCTTCTTGTGAGTGCTCTGGAAGTTTGTAAAATTACCGAGGGAGATAACCGGGATAAAGACGCCCTAAAAACACTTTTAGTGCGTCTATGAACCTATCGTTTTATTTTAATGCATCGAGTATATAACCAGAAATAGAGACGAAATATCATTTAGTTTGTTTGAAAACTTTTCAGCCAAATCATTACGGTGACAACTGTGCTCCGATTGGCTAGCCCGATTCGAATACAATTGACGGGTGTCGTCAATTGTTTCACTTCAAATAGTTGTGATGTGTTTGTTGGAGGTTTTTTTCGCTGTTAAGGAATCATTTTAAATCTTGTTTTTCTATAACGTTGGGTATAGTGCAAATACAATGTAAATCAAATGTAAGCATTAATTTATGTTGTCTACGGACTGATAACAATAGATTCCCGTAAATCACGCTAATTTGAATGCCACGACGTTTTTGCGGATGTGATTTGGCGATTAAAGACTAAATTACCGGAATGGAGACTCTTATTCAAATGCTAGTTACGCGTGATTGCACTATAACGACCATAAGTGGCTATTGCCTCTGCAAGTTTGTTTTATAATTCACGCTAAATAAAACTTCATAAGATATTTCTAAACGTAGAACATATGAGCCTTCTAAGTTATATTTTTCCAATTTTTTTGGGAATTTTTGCGGAAAATTTCCCACTATTTGAAAATTACCTAACAGTAGTTAAAATAATTGTTGGCTCGTGGTGTTACACTGCTATTGTACATAATTATTATTTTAAATTTATTTACAGATACCTGGTACAGAAGTGACCATTGAAAAAGGTACATCGGTCTACATATCTCTATATGGACTGCATAGAGATCCGAAATACTTCGACAAACCGGATGTGTTCGATCCATATCGATTTGATGGCAATAATTTCCCCGACGCTTACATTCCTTATGGCGCTGGACCTAGAATGTGCATTGGTAAGTTTGTACGTCCACTTCTTATATCTCTACTGCTGGCTAAATAGGTCTGGACCATAGTTTCCTCCTACGTAAAGTATCGTATGTCGAAATTGCCAAGTTTACAGGGGAGCGGTTTAAAGTTCTCCGTTTTATTCGGCAAAGCTAATTACTCACATAGAGTGATAATCTAATAGGTCATCTAACCGAAATCTTGGATTTTATAATACTCTATGTGAGTAACGAGCTTTGACGAATAAAACTGAGAAATGCTAAAGTCACGTGTTATGCTTATCCGCTCACGCGATGCGCTCATCCTACCGCAAAATGGCGGCTGTTTGGTTTCGCAAATTAGAAAAGGATTCAGTTTAAATACAAGTTTTTTTAAATAAAAATTATTATTCTGCATTGCTAAATAAATTCCCTCCGTACTACCAACAGAAACATCTCAAATAAAATGCAGTAATACACCGCAAATCCTGCACTTAAAAAGCACTAATGAAATTTTTGGTGTACTTGGGTAAATATGATAATATTCCGTTTGAGTGGTTCTAACGTTAACCATGAAATTACTCCTTAAAGTATAGTTTATAAACATTTATATTCAGGGTAAACTTAAAAAACGCTACTTACGGTATGTTTTCAATAAATAAACACCGAAATCACCAGCCCAAACAATAACACACACGATTGTCGTGACGTATTTTTGAAGTTGTTTATTTTTTTTAAATGACAGACCCAGGCATTAAAAACTATATGGTTTGCTAGAGTAGTTACCGAAATAGCAATTAGTATTAGTTCTTTTACCTGTTATAACTTCGATATCCGTAAAATCGGTATAAAATCATCACCGGCACCTCTAGGTGTGCATGTATCGCGTGAGCGGTTAAGTCAGTGAGTTCAGAACTTAAAAAGGCTCCCCTGTAAACTTGGCAATTTCAACATACGACATTTTAAGTAGGAGAGGTCCATATGGAGCTTCATTCGCAACATGCGATAAATTTGGCCAAGTAATACTTATTTGACAGTGATTGTTTTGGACGAATGTGCAACGGAGAATGAGAGTAAACCCCATGGTCGTCCCATGCACTTTTTTTATAATATCAAGTGACGGGACGAACAAGTCGTACAACTGATGGTAAGCGACATGCCTGTCCATAACAGTTGCAGTGCCACTCAGAGCTTTAAATCGCAAAGGTCTGAGGGGCTCTGCCGCTGCGCCTTTTACCCATCAAAACCGAAACGCAGTAATGCTGACATTATTACTAATAGGTGAGATGACAGTACTTCCTCTACTACTAATAAAACTTTACACCATACTTTTCGGTGGGCGTGCACCGTACTTGTCTATAGTATCCATAGTTATAGCCCTCTCCAATTGACCGACTGGACTTAACGACAGCATTAAAATTTTACATACTTTGTGATTCTAGGTATGAAAGTAGGGCAGCTGCATGCAAAACTGATAACCGCCATGATACTGTCACAATACGAGATCTACCAAAACGAAGACGTGAGAAACAGGCTGGATGCAAGGTCCACATTAACAGCAGCATGTGGCGGGATACAGATGGAATTTAGGAGAATTACAGTTTGAAACTAGGTAACAGATCCATCGTCAAACTGAAGAATGTAATTTTATTTATTTTTTATTAATTTTTTTATTTATTTATTTATATCAGGTAACAAAAAGACCCTTGTATACATACCTTAAAACTAACATACATACAATATAATAATAAAAAACAAACTATACGATTTCACTTATCGGCGACGTGCGGCGCAATCTGGTGTCAGGTAACCGGCCGCGGAATCGCCGATATATGACACCCTTCGGCCAAAATTCCTCTTTCATGAAGGTCGAAAGATGTTCGGTCGGTATTCTCACCACAAACGAATTATAGTTCACGTTGCGGTGAGACTCCAACCGCTCGACCCTCAGGGTGTAATACAATGACGTAATTCTGGGTCATTTCTAAGTGACATTCAATATAACGGACTAAGTCCAAATCAAGATAAAATAGGCTTTATTTCATAGGTAAGCAAATTACACTTGAAACCGTCATAGTGTTTAAACTCCTTTGGTCATTCTTAAGGCAGATTCCCCTGAGAAGAACGAGTAAGAATCTCTAGGGGTTGCTCATTGTAATTATACATTTATCATAACAATGTTTAATTAGCACATCGTAGATCGAGAATACCTGCAAGAACTAAACGGGTCACTACCACGGATTTTTGTCACCCAAGTACGCAGAAGTTGTATAATAACCTTTAATATAAAGTTTTTGTTTCACAATTGTTTTAAACCTCGTTAATGGCAATTTCGATTATCAATCTTTAAAACCTTTAAATGAATTAGAGACTTTATGACGACGACTGTCATTTTTATTCCTCGTATTAATGTTGTCTGTCAGTCTGTCACTATTTAAAGTAGTCAACATTTGACACTGATTTGTTCAGAATACACCAAATTTTGGCATTGTATTGTTGAAGTATTTGAAATTATTTAAAACACTGATCCATTTCACGCCATTAACTAGAAATCATTAAAAATATCACATAGCGCCGTTTGCAAGTGGACCAATCATATTTGAATATACATATGCTTTGCTATACTTACATATTGAATTTAGATTCACTATTCACACTTTATTACATTTTTTGTTTTAATGAACCATTTCCATAAACGTATAATTTCTAGATTTAGTCATCTCTCGTTGGTTCTGACTGAAAACTAGTGCCTTAGGGAACTTAGGCATATGCGGAGCCAGCGCCATTTCTCTGATATGACAAAAAATGTCTTATTTTGTATTTATGTTGTATTCAATCTGTGTTTGTGTCGTACTAGTGAATAAAGTGTTTATTTATTTATCTAATTTAACCTGTTTGCCGGAAAATTTAGTTTAAATTTTACCATGAGGTATTCGGAGAAAGACACCGTGATGAATGCTGCACGTCTAAGAATGTGAAGCTTCGGAAAACGCGTGAAGCCTCTACCCGCATTGGGCCAACCTGGCGGACTATGACCTAAAACCTTATTTTATTATTTATTTACCCTACGTGTCCAATATAATAATGCATTCAGGATGCTGTTGGGGCTGCCGCGCTACTGCAGCGCGTCAGCAATGTTCGCAGAAGCCTTTACGGACAGCTTCCAGCTTTTTAAGAAAGCGACAAGCCTCCCTAATGCAGCGGGTGCGCGCCAGCACCAACAGCCTCCTTACTACAGTAGCAAATAGAGTTGCTGGTCCTTTCAATGAACGTCTCAACTCGTTGCATGTAGTGCCCTCTAAGTGGGCTGCAAAGTAAAAGTACTCGTAAATATGTACATAAGTAAATGTCATGTAATCAAGTAAACAATGTAAATTACTAACATAGTTTATAAGTCTGTTACTAATATCATATCCACAGAGTTCAAGATCGCATGAAATACAATATGAAACATATAAACATAAAAAAAGAAACTACCAGTATTATATTACTGGTACTTCTTATATGATTATAAATTCAAAAACACTAATAATATAAGTAATCAAAACCAAATAGGAACGAAAATTAAAAGGGACCGCTCTGAACCGTACCCGGCTCAAACGTCCCCATCACACTAGCCGCATTACCGCGCTGGATGGCCAGTGAAATCTGCTGCACCAGGTAAGATCCAGAGCGTGGATCATGACCCCTTTCTCGGAGCCGGCGGCCCAACTCCCGCACAAATTCCTTGGCCTCAGCAGCCCAAGTCCCCGCAGTCTCCACTGCAATTGGCACAAAATCGTACATTGGTTCCAACGCGCTGTATTTTGTGTGTTTTAATTTTGCCGCATATTCCGCAGCTGACCCGGCAAATCTGGTGGTGTGACTCAGATGGGACGGTGCAAATGTACTGACACACGTAGCGTCCCACAATAGGCATCGACCTCTCCGCCATGGAACCAATGTAAGACCGTCAGGCCTCTTGCCATCCGTACGGCACAACCCCGGAGGTTCCAAGACACAAGGCACGTTAGCCAACACCAAAGCCCGGCGAACTAGATCGTTAATCGCATGATGCCTTGACAACCGCCCCGCGCACCTTTGACAACTGAGGCCGTGGTGGCCATTCTCCTCAACCATGACCCCACAAATGCAGTGATGCAGTTCACAAACCTTACATCCCAACCGTAAAGCAACTGCAATTCTCAAAGAGTCATTATCCAGCAGTGTGCCTAAATGGGGTGAAGGCAATGCCTGCAACCACGCTCCTGATTCAGGCTTAATTGCAGCCTTTAGACGTGCCACGTTATCACCCGATGCCTCACCTAATAGCGATGTAGTGATCTCCCTACACAAAACATCATCCCATCCTCTCTGGACGACGACATTATCCGGTATATTGTTACTAATTATATATGGATTCAGGTCCGAAATAAAGGCTTATTATTATTATTATTATTATTACAATAATTTATTATCTAGGTACTTGGCACTGTTAAACGTAAAGGGTTTGTTTGGGTGTTGCTCTATTCCTAATATTTATACGCACATAATCTTAAATATATAGACAAAATTTTGTTTATACAAGGATTTATGTAATACAAATAAACGTGCGCATAGACGAAGCGCGTCACAAATAATAACAAAAGAAAAAACAATATCGTGATATTTAACAATTTTAATAAATTCAATATAAATAACTAGATAATATAAAGTTCTTAGGTTTTCGCGATTGTTACACATAGGAAATGAAACTATTTTTCCGGATTTAAATCGCGTATATCGTAACGAAATCGCGTTGACTCCAGTCAACCGTGACCATGGGACCTGTAAAGGGCTCGAAACGTCGGTTTGTTTGAAAAAACAAATATACGCGATTTAAATCCGGAAAAATAGTTTCATTTCCTATAGATAATATAATATTTTCATAATCATTAAAAATAGAAATAAAAGAAAAACTAAAAAAAACACGGTGTTTTTATAAAATATCGCGTTGTTTGCAAGCCATCACAGTCCGGTGGCTCGGAGAAACCAGTTTGGTTGCGATCACAGACTTTGTCTGTGGTTGCGATGCTAAACGTGCGTATACAGGCTGTTCCGTAACCTCGCCCGAGAGGAGACCCGGACCTGTACCCAGCAGTGTGATTATAAAATATGTTGATGATGATATTCTTAGTTATTATACTTTATTATAGGCACTTTCTTTGGCAACCTATCACAAAGTTAAGAAATACCGTTTGTTCGAAAATTCATTACAGGATATGTTGAATGTTTATAACAAAGACACAATTAGGTTCGGTTAGGTTAGGTTAAGTTAGGTTTAAAAGGAAAAACATTTTCCTCTCTAAATTACTTTCGAGGTTATGAAATTTCGACCAAACGTTATTTCTGGAAAATGTCATTTCGTATTATTGATTGGTAACCATTTTTTTTATAACTGTAGTGTATTTAGAAATTGTCTCACGAATGTCTACGTAAAAATTAAGTATGCCGCAAGACGGATCACAGTGATTGTTGTATTTCCTCTATAACCTATGTATCATAAATAAATAAATGATTTATTGTAATACGAATTATTTTTTAACCAAAATTCTCACTTTTATTGTAATAAGGTCACATCAGCAAAATGACACCTTTTCACATTGACTTACAAATAAATGGACGACGGGTCTAATACAAAAACCTCGAAAAAAATGTCCCAAGTCAACCTATTTAAACGTAGTGACATGTAAAGGAATATGAAAAAGCTAAAACGTTGAATTTAAATTGTAATGTCATCGCAGTACTGTCTAATTTTGCTTGCTTCGCTGTCAGTCGAACAAACGAAGACTAATGCTTGAATGACGCTCTGTATACGATTTTAACGCCCTATAAGTTCGGACACTTTTTAGCGCGGTCCCGACGTCCATATAATTGTAAGTCAATGCCTTTTCAAGAGAAAGGTTTCGAGATTCTACGAAAGAAATTAATCGATAACTTTTTAATATTTAAATAGGAGTTATAAAGGATGGCGACTGTTTTGTTACCCAGTGTTTTCGACGACGTGCACTGAACAGACCTATGAATATTTGTGATTCATTATCACAATATCAAAAAAGCTAATTGAATATAGCCTGTAGAATCTGAGGTTGTAAAGTTGATATAGGTTATGTTTATAACATTGTCCCAATTTCGCATCAGATGTTTGTTCGTAGGAACAGAAAACAACAAGTTTTCAGTTTGTTCTCTAAAATAATAAAGAACTTGTTGAATATTCCCGAATCTGCCAAATTCTGCCGCAACATGTTCCGCCGCAATGAAAATGAATAAAAATTAAGTCTGTCCAAATGGCAGAAATGGTCACACTGTTCTCAATCTTTTTTTTTTAATATTAGTTGTACGGCATCGGAATAACGCAATCACTCACTCACTCAACATAGCCCCGCACTAGGGAAACCCTGTGTCGCGGGTGCCATGGACACACACATAGACAACCACAAATTACACCCAAAGTCACGAGAGAAATAATTGTAGGCCATACAACTATTTCTCCCGGCCCGGGAATCAAACCTGGGACCTCTGCGTGGCAGTCCGGCATGGTAACCGTTCGGCCACAGAGGCAGTTTAGAAATCCATCAAGCCAAATCGTCAATTTTTTTTTCCCTATCTTTTAAATAAAACTTTTTTCTTTCATAGATACCTTCAAATACTTAGAAGAATACATTGTTCTCAATCTCAATGTGACATTGACATTGGCAAGAGGCCTCTTGTCAGAACGTTCCTGTGCTGACTTTTTTATCTTTCATTTAAATATTGTCTAAACATTTTTGTCATATTGTGTTTTAATGTTTACTTTGTGTCATTACTATTTAATTGATTATTTGATTAGGCATTTTAGAGCTATATTGATTTATGTGTGTACTATAAAATGACCAATACTTTGGTTGTATAAATGGTCAATAATGCTTAAAACGAAACGTACGTACAAGAACGTTACATCGTCTGTGGTTGAACTTAATCAATTGCGGTGTGTTCTTGCAATTGTTTTACAATTTCTTTATTCCCGACTTCTAAAAATATGCAAAAATATATACATAACTATACATAAATTAAAACATAAAATTTTACTAGCGAAGTCCATGAACGGCTCTTCGTTGATTTTATGATTATTGGGTCAGCTTTTGCCATCCGTCTTTATTGTCAGACTTTATGTCAAAATAAATATCACATATTATTGTAAAGACCTAAAGGTATATAGTCATTACAATAAAAGCTTATTCTAGACTAAAATTAAATGAATAGAAGTGGGTGCCCTGTGGCAAGGTGCCCAAGTTGCTGGCAATATTCCTCTTTTGTATGGCTATGGTAATGCGTTGGCAAGGTAGCTTTCGGCCTATGGGTTTCACATTTGGGAAAAAATTAGTAGACTTCTTAGGTTTCAGTGGTTGTTACACAAAGGAAATGAAACTGTTTTTCCGGATTGAAATCGCGTATATATATTTGTTTTTTCAAACAAGCCAATGTTTCGGGCCCTTTACAGATCCCATGGTCACAGTTGATTCAGGTGGTACAGTCATCAATCAGTTATGTATTAATGCAAACCACTCTATTTTTCGCTTAGTTACAAAAATTATTAATTAAATACCTTATTTTTAACTTTTACAAGGAACATTCCTATTTACACTACATATGTTTTACAGTTGTACTTTTAAAAGAAAGTGCAAGCTTTGGTTACTTTCGAGGCAAAGATCAGAAAGTAATTGGATGTAGTTTGTAATTATATTTTTACGTGCGGGTGCTGTTCATCTCTACCTAAACCCCAAATTTGAGTATTTTTTGGGTGGAATATTTTATCTATCTCAGGTACTATAAGGACAATAGATTTATTATAACTTTAATATATATATATATATATATATATATTAAGTGAGTATATATATATATATTTATTATTTTGTGATATCTTTTGGAGCTACTCGAGACGCGTCAGACAAATATTATGATTAAAATGTAGCGAGTTTCAAAAAGGTAGGGTCTGAAAAACAGCTTAAGCTGAGACTCTATCCTTTTTATCTACACAATATCTATAAGTGATGTTATTTACGACTAAATTGTTTTGTAAATGTAGATAAATAAAGTTCTTTATTATTATTATTATTAGTTATTATATTTTAACAATTATATATATATTTTAATGATTTTTTTAATTCAATTTAATATTAATTAATAATGGAAATTGTAATAAGTTATAACATATTAATTGGTATTGCAGTCTGTCTGTTTGGGATTTGTCATCGAAGGAAATACTGAATCCCAAACTGGTGGTACGGAGAAACCATCTTCCCTGTTGAAATTAGGATGTTTTTTTAATTTCAATGCCCTCTCACAGCATCCTGGGTAGTCAACGGACTTCTGTTGCAAGGACTTGGAGTTTGTAAAACTTGATTGAATGTGTAGGTTTATCCATTATATGCTCGTGAAACTTAACTGTAGACTTGTGAAACATTGGTTTGTTTGAAAAAACAAATATACGCGACATAAATCCGGAAGAATAGTTTCATCTCCTAATTAAAAGACTGTTTAGTCAATTAATTTTTTTGATACAATTTTGAAAGGACGGAATGCACTGGGACCCCACAGACCAAGGATTTCGACTTCAAAGGGTGTAAATAGGTAGTCGGAGACGAGGTCCTCGTACTTATCACTGTTTAATCTTTCCGCCAGCTCAGCTGCGGAGCTAGCCCTCATACTGGAGTGAGGGCTGATGCCCGGTCCATACTCCAAGGGATGAGAGTCATTTCGTCCGGGTGTTTCGCGACATGCCAGTAGCCTCGAGTATAGCGGCCACGTTAACCGTGGTTAAGTCCTGGCGGATAATGTCATTGAGGGCTGCATGGCGGGAGATACGGCCGGCGCGCAGCTGGCAGGAAAAACCGTGGCTTCACTCTTTACGAGCTCTGAGTCGCCACGGTTTTTCAGCAGCAAAGGCTGCAAGGACACTGATGTGGACATTGTATTAAAATTTTTATTGAATTGATATTCAATATTTTTTTGTGAACAGCTGCATCTCTAGCCAGGTCTGGTAGCTGTAAAGGTATCTAAATGGGTGACGAAATACTTAAGATTTCTTATAGATGGCGCTGCGGCTAAAAAGTCGTTGAAAAACCAGATACCAAGACACGACAACAAACAGAAAAATTCGTGAAGTCCGCTGGTTCGTTCTTTGGCTTAGTTGGTATAGCGTCTGGCATGGAATGCAAGAAGACGTCGGTTCGAATCCGGCCGGATCGAAGGAATTTTTTCTGAGTGTTCGATTTTTGTATTAATAATTAATAGTGTATTAACTCAAAACGTGTAATTTTTAAAAAGGAATTACCCACTTCCCGTGAAAGGTCATTGTATGTATAGGTTAAAGTTACTATTACAGACATCTGAACAATTTCCCACGTGCAAAATATATTTTAAAATGAAAGGGAAAAATAATTTCATATTTCTGTCGTGCATCTGATGGTAAGCGACATACCTGTACATAACAGTTGCAGTGTTACTCAGATCTTAAATTTGCAAAGATCTGAGGAGCCTCTGCGCCCAACACTCTGAGACAAAAGTTGACAAGGCCCATGTGTCTGTCATTTCACCAAAAAGTAGATATCTTGTAATTCTTTCTTACAATATCAACTGCCTCCGTGGTCGAACGGTTACCATTTCCCAGACTGACCCAGATTCGATTACCGGGCCGGGAGAAATATTTATATGACCTACATTTATTTCTGTCGTGAGTTTGAGTGTAATTTGTGTGTGTGTTCATGGTACCCTCGACACAGGGATTCCTTAGTGCGGAGCGATGAGTTGTGCGTTAAAAAAAACTTACCGTCTTAAGAAATAAAAATCAAAACAGCTAATTTTCAAAAAGAAGTTTATTAAAAAAGTAATATTTACATAAAATTTAACGAGTAAATACAACTTCATTTGTTTTTAATCGCTTATATGTTAACGGAACATTTTAAACTACAGTTAATGATCATTTGACTTTATGTCAGTCAATTACATAAATTTTGTAAGTAGTGTAACTGTAAAGATTTTTCCTGACAGTCCTACTGTAGTAGTACTATTAGGAAAAATGGCTTGTGTACTTCTTGTTTGTATAGGTTGATAAGGGAAAAGTATTCCGTGATGCGAGTGTTGAGCAAGCACTTCGTTTTATAAGTTTATTTATTCAGAAAACGTATAAGCGATTTATTTGGGAACATATGGCTTTTAAGGGACCAGAATTGGCCACCAAAAGCCCGATAGATTAAAACTTATTCTAGGTAAATAGCTGTATTTAAAAAATCAGTGCAATATTTTTCAAAAATGGCACTAAGCGTATTACAGAGCTGTGAGCAGAATAGTATGAAAACTATCATTTAGAAAACTAACAGTCACGAGTTGAAAATATTTTTATGAGATTTCTTTCGATGTCAAATCAATACAGTTTATTAAGAATTATTTACTATTTTAGTTTAATTTATTTATTGATGACCTGTGTTGCGCATATCTCTAAAGTTAAAGGTTTTTGACAAGTATGTTCTTTTCAACTTATGTATAACTATATACGCTTATAACTATATAACATTAATAACGGCTTCGCTATGTAAAATTAAATCTCCTAGATACATCGTTCACCACCTATGCCGTATTACATACAGAACTTTAGAAAAATACAATCGACTGATTTCGGTTTAGTAGAGCGCCGTGTCTGTCATACTTGTATAACATTTTATCGCTTATTTGCGAGTCGCGCGAATAAAATGGCGCTCTACAAATCTAAAGCTTGACGTATAATATTTAGGGCTTTGTATTGTAAGTTAGGCATAACATTGATTAAAGTTAGAAATATACGCAGCAGAATCTTCACAACACTATTTAATTTTTTTTCGTATTTAATATAGTTTTAATTGCACGTTTTATAGACTTAGCATTAAAGTGTTTTTTTTAAATTAAAATTTATACTTTTTCAATTTTGTACTGGTTTTTATTGAACATCTAATATTTATAAATAAAGAGTTAATTAAACAATACTTAAAATTCTCTTTGCACTTCGTTATTATAACTTTTTGTGAATTTCAAAGAGTATAAAGTATTTAACTAGCACATTTTTTACGAATCCACCATTTTCCATGTGGCTCTACTAGTAGAACTACAGGTAATAAAGTATTTGCATTACTAAACGTTCCAAAAATTACTACTTGTTCTACTTTTAACCAGAACAATAGCAACAACCAGTATTTACTACTTCATATAATTACGAAAGTAAATTTTTCGTAACTTAGTGACAATTAAAAAGATTAAAGAAAAAATACCCTTAGTGCCAGAAGTAGACACTATTTATTTGGTTTTCTACATATAAAAAATAATAATACAAATAAAATTTGTGGTATAACCACTGGGAAAAAAATTACATCTAGTTCTATTCTTTATACCTTTCTTCTAACTGTTTGATTCTAACTGGCACCTGTACAGGGGGTAGATCGACGCTCTTCGCGCGTGGTCGGAGAGCATCACGCGGCTTGTCGATTGGTAGCTCGGGCAGCGTCGGCCGTTTCCGGAGCGCTTTGTTACCTGGGACTGTTAGGTTTAAATTTTATTATTATATATATATTTTGACATTTCCAAAAACAAACAATTACAGTGGAATAAAGAAATATTTTTTTCGGATCTAAACACGTATATCGGCCATTCTCAAAACAGCAAATTTTTTTATGTGCGGACCTTTCCTGTCTCTGTATAATATTATAAAGAACCACAAATATTTGTTTTACGTACTTTATACTTTTATCTAAAGGTATTTTTAAGATTTTAGCTCTGCTACTTAATTATCACATATATTTTGTTTTTCAAACCCATGTTCTCCAATTATCGTAGCCTGTCCGGAAGCTACCTTTGTCTGCAAATTTAGTTCTCGTTTTAGTCCGGAATGAATTACACCAGTGCCTTTTGAGATCCTGAATGGCAAAATACTGTTCATGTAATAACATAAAAATATAATGACGGCCATTGTTTTAAAATCTACTATCAAATTTCCGAGTGTCCTGCCGGAAGGTATAATTGCCACCGCCTTTCAAAGTACTCATCCCTAAATCATTAAATCGAATAGTGCGAATGTACCAGTGTCGACGGATCCGTTCGCAATGTACATAAATATCATGGATTTAGACGATTTAATTCCGCCTTCCCCGTTCCATCACCGGGGGACTAGGCGTTGGCTAAGCGTTACGATCCACGTTTATGTGGCGAACTGCTATGGAATGCAATTCCCTGCCTGCAGACTTGTTCCCTGAATGTTATAACTTGGGTATCTTCAAGGCAAGAGTGAATTAGCATTAAGAAGGTGTGCATGCTCCATCGTCGACCTCATCGTCACTTTCCATCAGGTGAGATGGAGGTCAAGTGCGCACTTATATTATATTTAAAAAAAATCTAATTACCGTAAGTTTGGTTTTAAAATTTTCTAATTCCCGTTCCGCTATACGTAAATTACACGTTTGAAAGAAATGATTGTCGCTTGAGTCTTTTCCATCTCTTCCAGTTTTTGAAATTTTTATCAAATGGTTCGTGCTCTAAGTACCGTAGGTTTTCTAATTACTAGTTGCAATGGAAATTTGAATCTCCATAGAGTGGCGGTGGGAAGGCAGTGATGGCATTCATTCAGTCAATCACTAACGAATGATGTTACCTTTTTAAAACTACCATGGAAATCTCTGTGCACCTCTAATTTTTTATCTCGTTTTATTAGTTCAGTCTACAAATTGAAATTACATCCAACCATTGACACTCCATCCACGCACAACTGAAATGATTTAAAATTACAAAACTTAGGTCCCTTATGTTGTGTGGAGAAATAAATGTCTTTTTTGTTCATTTAGATCCGAAAAAAATATATCTTCATTTCCGATGTGTAGTAAAGACTAAACACTTAAGTACTCCAGTTGACTCATAGTTTAATAAATTGTTATAGCAAGAATATTACTTCGAAATTAAATAAGAACTTTCTTGGCAAGCACACGCCACCTCCGTTCTCATCTTACTCTACATCTTTTCAGGCTAAGTGCCTTACAATATTATAGTGGCAAACAAAATACATCGACGTATTGCTCAACATCAAATTCTAGGCGTATTTATGTACCAAAATTGTACAGGCACTTCTTTATTAATTTCTCACACTGTCCGATTGAAACATGGTGGAAATATTAAAACAATAATTAACACACGTAATAGATTAAAAACTGGCATCTTACTCGATAAAGAAGACCTCGAATATAAACAGGAAAATGTTATTTTGTTACAACACAACATTCAACATTGAGAATTTTAATAAATAATAATTTGATTGTTTAATTTGGACAATCAGTTAGCATTCAGGTGATATGGATAGTGGACATAGTTTAATCAAACAACAAACGTATTTATATTCAAAAAGACGTAAAAGGGGAAGAAAAATTTCATTATAAGAACAGTGTATGTAAGTGTATCTTTGTGTCATCAATAGTTGATATGAAATAGGCTAATGTATTTTTGTATAATGGTAAGCCAATAATATATAAATTAAAAAAAAAATAAGCGACCTTGATAGTGCGTGGAAATGTTTACATCTATTTGACAAGTCTTATTGAAATTCATCCCCTAGTTTGCCACCCTTAGAGGCGGATTATTTTCTGCAAATTTAAATGGGACCAATACTGCGGTACTCAACCAATGGCGGATTGAGAACTTCACACACATCTCATATATTGATTTGCAGATGTGCGCAAGTTTCCACACGATGTTTTCCTCCACAGAAAAGCTCATTGTAAATTTCAAATGAAATTAAACTTTTGCACATAACGTGCAACGTCTGATTTGAATCCACGACTATCTACTTGAGAGCCAATTGGTCAAACCATTATACTACCACGGTTTCATAATCGTGAATAGTATTCTGCCCTGCTTGTCATAACTAACACATTCGCATTTCGGAACTTTCGATATACTAGCACCTAAAGCTTTTTTGTCACCTAAAAAAAAGTCAATTACGCTTATTTCACTTCACAATAAAACTGACATTAATTAAGATAATAAAAAACCGATTAGATGGGGTTGCAGATCTTGTCTAGCTGATCCCAGGCATGTCAATAACTCAATTTCGTTAAAAATGCGATTACGTGACTTATGATAAGGATGGCAGTATTTTTTAATTGTTGGGATTATTAATATCTTTTTCACCTCACTAGCTCGGAAAGGCTTTCTTTCTCATGAGATGTCTGCGCGCCAAAGCGTTTTTCCACGCTAGCATGGAAAAGGTTTTTGAAATTCGAACGAACCTGACGATGAACTGTGGTACACCTAACTTTTATCTTAAAGATAATGACGCGTTCAACTACGCGATTTGTCGTACATTACATATTTATGTAATATAAATCCGTTGCATATTTTATTCTTAATATCATTGACTTACAAATAAATGGACGACGGGTCTAATACAAAAACCACGAAAAAAATGTCCCAAGTCAACATTTTATTTTAATTTAAACGTAGTGACATGTAAAGGAATATGAAAAAGCTAAAACGTTGAATTTAAATTGTAATGTCATCGCAGTACTGTCTAATTCTGCTTGCTTCGCTGTCAGTCGAACAAACGAAGACTAAAGCGTGAATGACGCTCTGTATACGATTTTAACGCCCTATAAGTTCGGATACTTTTTAGCGCGGACCCGACGTCCATATAATTGTAAGTCAATGCTTATTATTGTTAACATTTAATTGAGAAAGATAATTATATAATTGCGTTTATTAAATTATTTTAATTCGTCGAAATACTAAAACAATTTCAATAAACGTGCAAAATTATAAGTACAAGCAAGAATAAAAATTGATGAGGTGCAAATTCAGAACGCATCCGAAGAGAAACTTTTCCTTTGAATAAAAAAAACTGATGTTTTGTTCAAATTGTACTTTCATCTACCATTTTCCACGCTATAGTGAGGTGAAAAGTTGTGTGTGTCGCTCGGCAGCAAAGTTGTTTTGCGTGTCGTGCCTTGAAACCCTCGCTACGCTCCGGAATCTACTTTTGAACATTCATTTTAATCTTAGCTTCCTTCGCTTGCTCACGTTTCAATACAAGCTCTCGCGTTAAACATCAACTTTGCAGCCTTACATAACGAATATCTATTACAGAGTCAAAAGTATATTCTGTGGCCAAACTAATAATATGGATTGGAAAGAAAATGTTATTTTGTTCAACTAAAAAGTATTTAACAATTAATTAATCATGGTGATATTCTTTAGGTTCATGAAGTGGTCCATGGTTCTAAAAATTATCCGCTCACGCGATACATGCAGCCGTAGACGCATACCACACCTAGAGGTGCCGGTGATGATTTTATACCGATTTATCGGAATTGAAGTTATAACAGGTAAAAGAACTAATATTAATTGCTATTTCGGTAACTACTCTAGCAAACCATAAAGTTTTTAATGCCTGGGTCTGTCATTTATAAAAAAAATAAACAACTTCAAAAATACGTCACGACAATCATGTGTGTTATTGTTTGGGCTGGTGATTTCGGTGTTTATTTGTTGAAAACCTACCGTAAGTAGCGTTTTTTAAGTTTACCCTGAATATAAATGTTATTAAACTATACTTTAAGGAGTAATTTCATGGTAAATGTTAGAACCACTCAAACGGAATATTATCATATTTATCCAAGTACACCAAAAATTTCATTAGTGCTTTTTAAGTGCAGGATTGGCGGTGTATTACTGCATTTTATTTGAGATGTTTTTGTTGGTAGTACGGAGGGTATTTATTTAGCAATGCAGAATAATAAATTTTACTTATAAAAACTTGTATTTGAGCTGAATCCTTTTCTATTTTGCGAAACCAAATAGCCGCCATTTTGCGGTAGGAGGAGCGCATCGCGTGAGCGGTTATAGTAAATGAACTCAGATTAGACAGGGCTGATCTACAAACCCGCTGTAATGGTGTCAGGAGTTGGAATTGTCAGTCACACGTCGCAGTTATGTTATAGAGTGTGCTTACCTACGAAGTGTCACATACCCTTGGGGCATTCTGTGAGTGAGAAGGTTTCACAACCATCTGCACGAGTTCTGGCGCCGAGTGACGGTGAGCTAGAAAGAGAGAAGTAGTTTTTAGAAGCACCGTATGTTTAGAATTCAATATAATGTGAATCTGTAAAATTTTAAACATAGACTTTGATTACAAATAATTAACACTCATTTTGATAATAAAGTTTTATTATCATTTGAACGTGCTGTTCAATCGTGTAACTTGCCATGATGATTGGCATAAGCAACTGTATAATAAACAAAAGATTTGACAGATGTCACCAAAACAAAATGGCCGCCACGGGCCGCCAAAATCTACCCGCGCCAATTGGAAAACCCTTTATTTAACGAAATTAAATTAAGTAAAAATGTGTGAATTGTTCTTAGTTTTAACAGATAACAGCTTGAAAAGAGTTGTAAACGTTTTTAACATCAAAAATAGGATATTGTCATTTGAAACGTGTTTTCTTTTCATCGGTTATCCTCACAGGACAATAAATACAGTAGAAGTTGTTAGTTAGCATATGACGCCTGTCAATTATAGGTCTCGAAAGACCTATCTGAGCTCAGTCTGCCATTTTGCTTTGTATTGTATGGTTGTGTCATTCTTTCGTGCAAATTCTCTAGAACCCTTTTTCATATCATCGGAAAGTATTATTTTAATTTTTTTTATTGAAATACCCCTGCAATATGGTCGCTTCTTGTTTGGATACTAAATTATAACGGCAATTCGTTGTCGTTCAGCATCGAACCGCTAGATGGCAGCATATTGATTGGGATTTTAATGTAATATCAAAACGTCGTAACTTGCAATGAGGTTCAACTCACACTGGCGCAGAGTCGAAGCGTCGCGACGCGTCACATTTTGGATATGTAATTATGATTCATACTATGTGAAATTCTATTATTCTTCTATTTAAGCGTCAAAAAGGAGTGCACGAAATGAGGCTCCCAATAGGACATACTCATATTACTTGTACCTCAGGCGCAACCTGGGCAACAATTGGCCAATCCTTTCTCAGCGATGGCAAATATGTCCCATAGTTCCGCGTTTACAAGTCAGTGCTATTGTAATGTTCGGGGTTTCGGCGAGATGTTCACAACCAACAGACAGCGTTTTCACAAGTAATTATTTATTACGAGTACTACAATATAAACTTACATACGACTAGACTATTTGGTATACTAAAGTTAACTGTGTCATCCTAACAAGGAGAGGGCCCTTTTATATCGTTACCAAATCCTGAGTGAGATTAAAGTACACATTTCGAGAATGTTCTTGAGAGAAAACAATATCATTAACTAATTTGTATACATATAGATTACTAAGTTGTGAACTGTCAATAGTCCTTACATGATGAGAATGGTAAACAACTAATGTTTGTTTGTACAATAATCTAAAATATTCCTACGTACATTACA